GAGAGCTATGGCGCTAGGGCCAACAGTTTTCCGCCACTCAGAAGTAGCCGAAGGTGATCAAATACTGTAGATCATGCCCCAGGGACAGGCTGTGGCTGCCCCGTCACCTCCGGCTGCTCGTCGAGTCGTCGCCGAGGGCGCCCGCCTGTCGTTGCCTCAACCCCTGCCTAGCCCAAGCAGCAGCCAGCTAAGCAGCAGGGTGCCGGCCGCAAGAGAGGTGTACAGCCCGTTTTTAGTTCATCTAGGCCCCCCAGCAAGAGGAGAGGTGAGTGACTCTGAGACGAGAGAGACACAGTGAGTGCTCTTTGGGTGGGTGCCTCTGCATCCATCCTTCCCCGGGAGAAGGGCCAGGTGGAGAATCTTCTTTTTCCTTTTTTACACTTCTCATCCCGCTCGCCCCAGCACTCAGATGTCAGTGACGCCGCCATGAACTCGTCACTCTCATCTGTCTCTGGCCAAGGAGGCGCATTTCCCCTCCTTCCTTCACCTCGGGACAGCCAGCAGCCGAACGCCCCAGAGAAAGATGGTCCTTTCCTGCCGCTTGCCCCCTGGTGGAAGCAGGTAAGTGTTGCAACACACACCCAGACCCCTCTCTTCCACCTCGCTGCCCCTCCGCGTGTACGCTAGTGTTCCGGGTCGGCTCGTTGGTACGGTTTCTCGGAGCCTGGCTAGTGCTTCCGAGGTCGTCCAGCTGCCTCATCCGTATCATCCGGCTCGGCTATGCAATTCAGTTTGTAGGGGGATCTGCAGGCATTTTCGGTCGACAAATTGTACCTGGAGTTCGGGCTTCACTGACAGGTGAGGCGCGAAATGCAAGTCCAGCATGGCAATATTCATTGGCTCGTTTCAATTCATTCAAAGGCAATTGGTCTCCCTAGCATGATCCCAATTCATTGGAAACTCCTCCGATGAAACTTCTCCGTTCCCTACTCAGGGAATGAGGGTTACCATACATAACCGAGACATTTTACACATTTTTAAAACATTTAGAATAAAACTGTCTGTAAATGTAAATAATTGTTTCATAATAAATAACATAATAAATAAATATAATATAAATATAAAAAATATAAGTATATATAAGTATAAAAAATATATAGTAAATAAAATATAGAATTTAATCTTATTATTAAATTTATTATACTCTATATTCAGTTGTATAACTTTACTATTTTCTGTCAAATCAAATTAATTTTATTTGAATTTTTTTTTTTTTTACAGTTTTGTGAGATAATCTCTCCTCCCTCAGTCGGCAAATTGGCGGGACCCATCATAAACACGATGCTTGACTATGTGGGTAATGTTAAACTCTGCTCTAGAATAACTGAGTACCTAGAAAGCAACAAAGAATGGGCCCATATTAAAGAAAAATCAGGTAAGACATTATTTCTAATCTCTTCATTTGCAGAACCTAAAATTATTGATGTGCAATTAAATAGATTTTTCAAACAATTGGAAATAAAATGAAAAACTGAAACCTCTCTATTTCAGTTCTTCCTTGCACACTGATGCATCTCTGCAGACTCAAGATTCGCCAGCGAATGGGAATTTCCAGACTGAGGAGAATCAATTCTCTTCCTCTACCAGGGAGACTAATCAAGTTTTTGGGTTATGAATTAGAATCATTTGAGGACAGTCTTTTGTTACAGACATAGGATAATCACAAATTTAAAAACTTGAGATCTGAAAATTGACACCATTTCTCAGACACCATTACTTTGTACTGAATTCTCAATACACGTTTTTACATGTAAATAGAATAATATTAAAATGTACATAATATACATACAGAATGAAAAGTAAATAACTAGCACACAAACAAAAGCAGTATATAAAGGGATGGATTTCTAGCAATATGTAATTTTATTTATATGTGTGCATAACCAAATTGACTTGCACCCCAATGCTTTTTATAATGAGACTATAAGTGGATATTCCTGGCCTTTATTCTGCTGTAAACACAATTAAATTGTATATGATGTTTTCTTATTCTGCTTTAATGTCATGAAGATGTACTGTACATGATGTAAGTATTGTATGTTTGTTTTGTAAAATTAGTTAACATTGATGTAACCTTTCATTTATAGAGCTTTGTGTAAATTGGCAGTATTCCTCTTTGGAAACAAAGTTTGTGGTGTTCCCTTTCAATATTGGTCTCTCAACATTTCGTCAGAACTAACACTGTGGGGAATCACATTTCTCCAAGAAATACTGAACCCTGATTGGAACAACGCTGTTGCATTGCAATGGCCAATGATGTTCCAGAGCATGAATCAGGGGTGGGATAACTCCCTATATAAGGTAGCGCAGAATGACATATCCTTAGAATCATTCTCCTTCACACAACGCAAGTCAGAAGTCTTTCTTTTTTGCCGTCAAGTCATTGACTCAAGTGGATGATGCCCCTTCACCGCTCCCTATTCAGCATTTCAGCGAGAAATCAAAAAGATTTGCAACGCCTATGTGGGATCCATCGAGCTCCCAGCCGGACATGAGCTGCCGTACAAATAGCCGAGCATGCAACCTAAGCCTCCATGGGATCATGACGCATTACTATATAAACACTAAGCCACTCTTTTCAGTAATGTATTGTAGTGCGGTCTATACTAACCAGCCCTCCCACCGCTCAATGACTTCATATGATATACATTGACTGTGCCGCTGTATTGATTAAGACATGTAGTGTTGCTTACATTCCCCAGGAGGAAAACCCCCGAACATGGGTTGGAGCGAAGGCTATCTCCCTCCACCCTTAAAGTGTATGTTGCCGCTATTGCTGCACATCACAATGCAGTTAAAGGTAAGTCGTTGGGAAAGCACGACCTGATCGTCAGATTCCTGACAGGGACGAGGAGACTAAATCCTCCTCGCCTGCTCTCTACACCCTCTTGGGATTTGTCTCTGGTCCTTTCGGCTCTTCAGAGACCACCCTTTGAGACTTTGCAGTCAGCTGAGTTAAACATTCTGTCCTGTAAAACAGTACTCCTGGTTGCATTGGCCTCTATCAACAGGGTAGGGGATCTGCACGCATTTTTGGTTTGACGAATCGTGCCTAGAATTCGGCTAACTCTCACGTAATCCCGAGACCTCGGCCCGGATATGTGCCAAAGGTTACTACCACTCCCTTCTGGGACTAGGTGGTGAACCTGCAAGCGCTGCCTTCAGAGGAGGCAGACCTAGCCCTGGCTTTTCTCTCTCCGGTCCGCACTCTGTGCCTATACGTGGACAGAACACGAAACCTCAGGACCTCAGATCAGCTCTTCGTCTATTACGGAGGCCAGCAGAAGGGAAAGGGTACATTATTTAATAATTCTATCATAAGGCAGGCATAGAACAAAATACAATACAAGAGACAATAAACAGTAGATGCTGTCTTGTCCATATGCATGTTCATTTATAGAAAATGTGTCTGTGTAAGGATTTATGTGTATTCCATGCTTATCAGATTTTTTTAAATAAATAAAAATCTTATCTGATGGTAGCCCTGGCGACTGAGACCTCTTTTCGGGCGATGGTTCATTACTAATAGGCTTTAAAACTTATTTGTTACATGTAACAAATAATAATTTATCTGATTTGTCCCAGTCACTACATCAATACGTTGGATGCAATATATTTCATTTGGTCTTAATGTGACATTAGCCTAATATAGCCTACCTGCTGCTGTCTGGGTCATTGAAGTCAAAGAAAGAAAAGAAAAAAATCATTCACTGGTCTTGAGTGAATAACTTCTGTAGCTTTAACAAGTATTAATGTATATTGAATTTATACAGTGAAGATTATGCTATGTTATTTTGCATGTCATTATTCAATTTCTGTACCTGAAAAACTTCAAGCACTTGATTTGTGAACCAAGATTTGTGAAATTTGACTGGTATTTTGGCAGCTTATTTATTAGAATAGAATATTACCCATGGGTCAAAACATTGAAAATAAGTCAATATTACACACAATATTCTTTCACAGTCTATGGCCCTTGCCAGTCCATGCATAAATGTGCAAATCCACCACGGAGTTGATGTGATGTATTTTCCACATTATTCTCCCCTTTGGGTAAGATATGGTCTCTGTATTGGTCTTTCTCGCATCTGGTTACCTCATAAATCAGTTCAGCAATTGTGCCATTTTCCACAGGGACCGGGTCCACACTCAGCACAAACCTGAATGAGTGGATGCATGCCTGCTCCTTTTAGTGTGACCCCTATTGTCAGCATTCGACAACACGTCTCGTTCCTTCCGTCAAGGAACGGAGATTGCAATAGTAACCAAAACCGTTCTGGCCCATGAAAGACCTTTTAATGAAACAAGGGGACACACATGCATTGTGCAAATCTGCAGACTAACCATGGATATCACCGTGGATGTAGTGGATGTTACTCAAACTTCTTGCTTTTTGATAATGTTTGCCAAATTATTCATCAACTAAAAAGGGTTAAATTGTTACATCAGCCCAAACAAAAGTATGATGAGTTTGTAACCTTGATTATGTGTCCTTGACATTAACTTAGCTTCACCTATAAATAAGGAATAAGGTATTCACACAATGCAATCCCATGTCCCCTTTGTCTCGTAGCCTTGACACACTTGTAACGTAACACAGCAAAAACAGCCTAACAATTTAACCCAGTTAAGCACTAAAGGCTTCACTAGACGAAGCCTTTGTATGAAGGTGACTAACATTATTTACAGCTACATCATACAGTCTTAAATTACTAAGAAAAATATTTTAATTATCTTTATATATCCACATGAATCAAGAAATATTATACTGGGTATTTTCAGATAATATATTTCATGAAGCACAAATCTGCAGTACTCAGAGCAGAGATGACAGACTTTTTTTGTAATCTAGGCTGCAGGTCTGTTACTCCTCAAGAACAGCATTTACTAAGTGGTTGATAATCTTAGCATACATGTCACGTGTCCCCTCCATGACATACTCTAAACAATCTGGTGTGGGGGTCAAAGACCTCTCTCTGCAGAGAGCTAAACAAGTCTCAGTGCAAGCGTGGAGTGTGCCACTAGACCCTGTGGAACTACAACAACAACAAAAACTTCTCTGTTTGGAAATCTGACTGAGTTAAGTAAGGGGGGAAGCATTTGTTAAGGGGTAAGCTTTTTTATTTGTTGTTTGTTTTGGATTGTGTTGGTGTTTTGGATGTAGGATACATTAGCATTATTATTGTAAAAATGTTTTTTACTTGTTTATTTTTTGCTATTATATTTAACACACATTAACTTGTTTTTTTACCAAAAAAAGAAAATGATTACATAATTTGCTCATTCTCATGTCTTTCCAAATCTGTATGACTTTCTTTCTTCTAATCTATTAAGTTTGAATATGTGTACAACAAATTAAACATTTTCTCAAGTCCACAATGCTTTGTTGCTGTATTCTCACAGCACATCTAAATGCTTGCTCCTGCTGTTTAAACATGATAATGTAATCGCTCCTGCTTAAATGCTTTGTCATTTATTTCTGCATGGAATGCATAACTAAAACACGACACTTGGTTTTAATGCTTGATTTACACAGTTACAATCATTTCAATCCTATGAATACACTCTGCTACTTAGTTTACAGCATTAGCGGTAATGAATGTGCCATTGGAACAATGAATGAATGAACAGGGGGAATGCATGCATGACTCTGAACTGATGCGTTTAAGACCAGTCATTTCACTCGACAGCCAACTCTGAAATGCCTCTCAGGTAGAAGTCATGCAACTCTTATCTCTTTAAATGGGAAAACATCAAATTTTCCAAAGCTGTTCAAAAAGCTTACACTTCAAATTTCATATTTGAAATGTGAAAGTTCTCATAACTTTAGTTTCTTAGCAAATACTCAAAACACTGCAAACTGAAAAAATTGACATGAGTGCAAACACAAATACGCACTATTTTCTACTAATCTTTTTCGCCAATATGATATTATAACAGTATTACCTGAGGGTGCTCTTTGCTTTAGTTTGAGGATGCCTGGAAAACTGCCTTGACGCCATTAATTATCATTCTTGACAGTGCCCACATAGCAATTTTTCTTTGGCCCAATTCCTGTCCACACAGCCAGCTTTGGGTGGCCCAGATCTCAATCCAAAACAAGAACCATGCATTAACTAGCCCTGGACAGGGCCAGAACAAGTTTTAAGAACCAGCACCCCCAAAACTGAGTCACACCTGTGCCTAATCTAGCCTAATATAACACAGAATCTTAAAGCTGCAGTCCATAGCTCTGCATACGGCAAAAAACATAACCAGCCAGTGTTCAGCACTATCTGGTTGCCGTAGCTCGATTCAAAGAGGCACTGTAAACTTGTAATAATGTTTTCATTAATGTACCAATGTATTCCAGTGGTACTGGTGGATTTCCACGGGAGATTCGAGCATGTCTTTGCATCATTACGTCACATCTGTAAACATAAAGGAGGAGTCTCGGCTAGAAGGCTATATTGAGTCATTACGTCACATCTGTACACATAAAGAAGGAGTCTCGGCTAGTAGGCTATGTTGCGTGTGAGGATGTTGGAGGTGGAATTTATAATCTTTTCTCACTGCACTTTATATAACTATCCATTTGATAAACCAGAAAGGTTCAAACAACAAACACCAGTGACAATGGATTTAACCACTGTAAAATGCAAAAGACTTTGTTCGGAGTTTGGAGTGGCTACAGAAAAAAAGAGACTGCAACCGGACCCATGCAAAAAAAGTATACATATCAGAAGGACATTAGCCTACATGTAGTCACGGAATGCTAAAATTGTTAACATTAACAATTTCAGAAAAAAGTATAATTTGCACGGTTTTGCGAGATATGATAACTTATAAGTAATTGTTAGATTTCAGCAGCGATTACTGCAATTTCAGAACCAGAACAAAAGTGGATGTTTCTTACTTGTTCAGATGACATTTTTCGGTGAAAATAGAATAATCTGTGATTCTGATTGCCAGTTTCCACACCGGTGTGGTGATTGACAGCCTCACAGTTTCCTCAAACATTGTGTTCATCCGAGCTGTGCTGTGTCGAGGATGTTGAAGAACAACTAAAGTAAAGTTGATAATTCTGTGGATGACTGCAATTGCAGATTTCAAACAGAGATGGCGACAAAGAAGAAAAACTGTGGACTGCAGCTTTAATATTTGGAATTCTTATATTGTATATTTATTTGTCATTATTTGTTTTGTGTAATGTTTTGCAAAGCTGAATTTAAAAATAAATCATGCAGATGAAGTACAAAATGTATACTTATCCATAAAATCCATATATCATGCACCTATAGAATAATAAAATAATAATTTAAAAACATTTTATTTTTATATATAAAATCAAGTCTGGAGGAGGAAGCTCAGGTGGAGGATGAGAGTCCAGAAGAGGGATCATACTGAAAGTCCTGGGTGTTGCAGGTGGTGTGATCCGAGGAATGGCTTTGAGCAGGGACAGATGGGATGCGAGCCAGGTAACAGCCAAAACTGTGATCGATGTCGGTGTTGCTGGAGGGTCCTCCCATGGTGGAGAGAGTTCTGACGCCACCTTAGGGACGAGTGGAGGTGACGATGACATTGGAGACCACACAGGCGAAGACCTTTGGCACCAGTGACAGAGCGATTACCCCCCGAGATGCAAGTAGTGATCTGGAAGGCAGAGGTGGAGCCTGAGGAAGAGCGGAGCCACACCACTGAGAGGACACTGAGGTGGTACTGAGGGGCTGATGGGAGAAAAAGATGACTGAGTTGCAGAAGTCGCTGAGGAGAGGAGACTAAAGAGACTAACAGAACACATTAAATCCATTGGACCAGTTTGGAGAGGAAGTGGAAGAGAGAAGCTGGGAGGGGCCAACAGGTCTGAAGAAGATGATTCGGATTCAGGCAGAATCAAAGGAGGTAGGGAATCCTCTTTTTTTAAAACACAAAACAAATGTTCATTAAGTCCAGTAGATGCTCACTCTCAGTGCGGGAGGGTTGGGGGCGCTCACTTCCATATTCCACAAAGACTCCCATGGCAATGGATGGTGCAGTCGGCTCACACACCTGACCTGGTCAGACATACGCAGCTCTTGCTCCAAGGTGATGTTCTGCTCAGTCGCTCCCGTTGGCACTGGCTCACAAATCGTGGCGGAGGGGGACTCAGACTCGTTGTCTGTAGTTGGCTCATTCTGCTGCTCCTCACAAGGGGAGGTGGTATCTAGCTAGGCACTGGATTTGGAGTGGGGCTGGATACCAGCTGGATACAGGATACCAGCACCCAATGAAGCTTCCTTGAGGACCCTCCCTGGACAACTGAGTGTTTGTTGCAATGTTGAGTCCCAAGAAAAGAACAAAGGCAGTTGTCAGGGAATTTCAACTGATGAGCAAAGTCGAAGAAGTCTTCCACATGTGCCTCGAGGGAGGGATCTCCAAACAGGTCTTTATAAAAGTTCACATTGTTATAGCAGATGAAATGTAACACAGAAAACAATAAATAATTAATTTTCTATCAAGTAAAACTGACCTTTAATGAATGCGGACCAAAGAACGCGACACACACGTCTCCCGGACATCTTGTAGAATTCAACCAATCAGATCGCAACTTCGACATTCCTGAAGTGATTCCAGAAAAGTCTGCCATATGCATCAGCCATTCAGCCAACGGTCTGTGAGCGTGATGTCTGAGGCCCCGTCCACACTACTGCGTTTTCGTTTAAAAACGGAGACCTTTTGCTACGTTTGCACCTCCCGTCCACACTAAAACGGGAAAAACGAAGACCCAAAACTGAGAAGTTTAAAACGCTGCAGCTGCGTTTTGAATCTCCGGAGAGCGTTTTAGTGTGGACGAGACAAAACCATACAAAACGGAGAACTTCAGAAACGCTGACGCAGAGGCTGACGCTTGGCTCTATGATTGGGTGTATAAGTCATGACGTATCCTTCCCTGATTCGTCATTCACTGTTTACACCGGCACGCGCATGCCCAGTGTTGGTGAATGGTCACGTGATCCGCATTTTCAGTCGTTTTAATGTGGATGGAGATCATTTCTAATACGCAGATAAAACGCTGGTGTGGACAGAGATCATATTCGTTTTAATTCTCCGTTTTTAAACGAAAACGCAGTAGTGTGGACGGGGCCTGAGGCTGAGACTATTTTTGGGCTACTTTTTGCCTCCCACCAACAATCGGCACTCATGTTGTTTGTTGTTATCCATGCTGTGCCGTCATTGCCAAACTTTTGACCAGCTTTGGCTGACAGGACAAGTGCCGCTGCCAACAGGAGCAGTGACAGCATGAGGCCGCATTCGAGCCAAGACTGTTTGCTATGTGGGTGGATGATCTATAATTACCTTTAGCCTACTAATATGACAATGGAAGTTTCCAACAACTTCGGTCCTGTAGTTGTGAGATTGTATGGCCAAAATCTAATTCTGAAGGAAATGCAGATGATTGCATCCTTCCGTATTGTAATTAAAGTGAATATTCATTCGCATATTGAAATAATAAATGTTCGCATTGCATGATCAACTTGTTAGCCAACGATTCATCTCACTTAATTAAGCAAGACACAACAGTGTTTTTATACTTCACCGCAACATCTGCTAGCGTGCTATTGCTGTTGATAATATTTGCTAACGTAGCAATTTGAATTTGCTTGGCTACATGCTGCTGCTGATCAAACGAAAAAACATGACACGCAATAATGATAGTGATATAGCTTGAGAATGACCGTTCACTTATTTTAGATGTTGAATTTCAAAGGAATTTTGAAAATGTGCTGCACTGCTACAGCAAATGCTAACCAAGTATTTGAAAGTTGAGCAGCGAGCTCATTGGCTACTGATACAGGAAGAACCAATCAGCTGTGCCAGATACAGCAAGAACCAATCAGCTGTGCCCTAGAGAGAATGAAGGTCCCGACATACTCAAGGCAAAGTTATTTTTCGTTCTTGATTCACGGTTAAAACGCAGTACGTGAGCAATATACTGTTATCGAACATCTGATGCCGCCCACACTGCTGAGAGCGACAGTTGTATGAATATGTAAAAGTGTGCTGCACGCTTTTCTCACAATAACAAATCTCAAACAAAATTGAGAAAACAGAAGAACTTAATTTTCTACTATAAAGCAGCTCTTTGGTGTGTTCATGTTTTCAATCTTGGTTCACGTCTAATCTCCACTGACTCGTGAGGAGAAATGAACTGGAAAAGATGGAAAAAGATGGAAAAGATACGTGAAAGAAGGCGGAGCCTCAAGCGCACACATACCTATTAAGTAATCGCCATGGACCAAAGGTAGTGCAAAGCGTTTATCAGCCGTAGAACTTTTCAAAATTGTTTTGGCAAGATGTTTTGAACTCCCAAAACAAACTCCACACAAAGTTTTGTTTGAAATGACTTCACAGCATCTTCGATTTCGATCAGATTGTGCCTAAAAAAATAATATATAATATGCAATAATACAATTTAGTCCAGTTTCATTACACAATGAATGTTTTGGTTGTCTTAGGGTCCATCATGGCAGCCGCCCATGTGTCTATGCCAGGTACCACAGGAACCTACCTGGAATTTGCTGACTACAGTCTCTATAGCAACCTGTCTGATAATGAGCTGATGCAGCTGGCAATCGAGCGGAGCCTTTCTGATGCCCAGAGCTCTGGGCCGGGGTCAGAAAACTCTAATAACCCTGCTGCTCTGAGCATGCCAACAACATCAAGCCGAGCTCTACCATCACATCGTCCTCCCCAGCAGCAACTACAATCAAATGTGTGTCCTGCCAATCCACCCAGGTATGGTGTGATGTGCTTCATTCAAGTTGAAATGAGGTACCATCGTTAATCAACTCTAACTGGCTGTGTAAAAATAACCCGTGTTTAGAACACCTTACTCAACCTGACCTTTAGTGAGTATCTTATTTTTTCAAATTGGCATCAAGCTAAAATTATTTAGATATCAGATTTGGGATTGCGAAAGTTTTGGGATGTCTGCGTTTACACGTTAATGAACTTTAGTGACATCCCAGCCCTGATCCGTGGGGTTTATTATGGAGTTGGCCCACCCTTTGCAGCTATAACAGCTTCACCTCTTCTGGCAAGGCTTTCCACAAGGTTTAGGAGTGTGTTTATGGGAATTTTTGACCATTCATCTAGAAGCGTATTTGTGAGGTTAGGCACTGATTTTGGACAAGAAGGCCTGGCTCGCAGTTTCCGCTCTAATTCACTACAACCGTGTTCTATCGGGTTGAGGTCAGGACTCTGTGCGGGCCAGTCAAGTTCCTCCACACCAAACTCACTCGTCCATGTCTTTATGTTTTGTGCACTGATGCGCAGTCATGTAAGAACTGGATTCCAATTCTTTTGGCAATATAGTGTACATTAGACATTTGTGATTTATGCAATTCAGGAATTGAACAACTTAAATGTAAAAAAGAGAGACAGGATAAAAATATACCCAATAATATGTTGCTTCATGAACTGTCTAGTCATGTTTTGATGGTCCAGCTCATGGGGAGAGTAACAGGATCACTTACATATGCCTACTGCATCTTCTGGCTGACACAACTGCTTCACACCTGTTCCTCTTCATTTAAAGGCACACTTTATAAATTGCAAGCTTAGTTCAGGTTCACATGCCAACATGCATAAAAATAGACATGCCCAAATCTACTTATTTGGATCCACCTCTAGGCTTCCAGTTGTGGATTTTGGTTTAATTTCAGAGATAACATGTAATGGTAATTTAATTTGAAATGATGAAAATTAATTAGAATTATGAAAATGTGATAGGTAGATTTAAGGAAGCATTAAATTAAATACCCATCTGAATGCAATTCTTTTTTCTCCAAAAGAGAAAAAATAAACCCAGAGGGTGTTTGTTCGGTGAGTCACTTTGTGACTGGTTCTGGCAAGCGAATGGTGGCGTATCGAAAATATGATGGAACTATGGAAGTCGCACCTGAGCCTGAAGAGTAAGTGATCACCTAATTACCTACATGACAGTATGATCTCATTATAATGTTTGTACAGAAAAGTGTGATTATTTGTACGTTTTCATAGAAGTGGATAAATATATTATAGCCTATATGGCCACCTTATAGCTACACCTGTTCAACTGCTTGTTAACGCAACTATCTAATCAGCAAATCACATGGCAGCAACTCAATACATGTAGGCATGTAGACGTTGTCAAGAAGATTTGCTGAAGTTCAAACAGAGCATCAGAATGAGAAAGAAAGGTGATTTTGAACGTGGAATGGTTGTTTTCAGCAACTGTTGATCTACTGGGATTTTCACTCTAGGGTTTACAGAGAAAGGTCAGAAAAAAATGAAAATATCCAGTGAGCGGCAGTTCTGTGGGTGAAAATGCCTTGTTGGTGCAAGAGGTCAGAAGAGAATGGCCAGACTTGTTCGACCTTATAGTTAGTATAGTTATAGCATCTCGATAGTTATAGGAAAGGTAGTAGATAAAACATTCTTCATTAATGGTGAAGCAATACCAACAGTTTCTGAGAAGCCAGTGAAGCCAGTCTTGGGAGACGGTACGATGGGGATCTAAAGGACAGAGGTTGAGTGGGAGAAGTTAGACGACAAGCAGTGGAAGAGTTGAAGAGCATAAACAGCTGTGCTCTACCAGGCAAACTAAAATTCTGGTGCTTTCATTTTGGTCTATTGCCAAGGTTGCTGTGGCCTCTGACTGTGTACGAGGTTTCTTTGACAACAATGGATAAGCTGGAAGCGTCAATAAGTTCATACATCAGGAAATGGTTGGGAGTGAACATCATCTCACTTGCAACATGTCATAATAATAAAACCGGTGTCTTCTCTAGGGACATTGAGCCTATTGTTAAGGCCATTTTGGACAATGATGTAGAAACAGTGAGGCTATTGGTTAAGCAACCCAGTTGCAATCTTCTTGCACCAAACAAAGATGGATGGATTCCTTTACACGAGGCAGCATATTATGGAAAAGATCAATGCATTCAAATTCTCCTGAGAGGTAAAGTGTGCTCATTTGAAAATTACTCAGTTTAACTTTTTTTTTTTTTTAGCCAAGCACTAATCGATTGTTTTGGCTTTTTATCATGAACACTATTCTCACAGCTCAACCTGGCATGGTTAACCAGCGCACTTTGAATTGGAAGACTGCTTTATTGTTAGCTGTGACCAGGGAACACCTTGCTTGTGTGGAGATTCTTCTGGAGAATGGTGCTGATCCTGATATTGCCAGTGTGGAGAGAGAGACTCCCCTTTACAAAGGTATATCCATTCATCCATCCATGGCCTTTGACCCTTCAAATTTGACGTTTTTTAATCCCCAAAACATTTTGTTAAATCTTGATGTGGCTTTTTTGTTGAATTCTTGTTAATTCTAGTTCCTTACATTCAGATTCAATTTGATTTAGGTATAAAGCCCTGTCATACCATCCCAGATCCACAACAATATAGTTTGTTTTACATTGAATAAGACCTTCTGTGGTGTGATGGAATTTGTATCATTTCTTTACATATCTGTAGCTTGTGAGAAGGAGAACCCAGCAATGGTTGCCATGTTACTGAATTATGGCGCCTCTGTGAATAAGAACTGTATTCAAGGCTGGACCGCTCTTCATGAGAGTGTTTGCAGAAACAATGTGGAAATCTGTGAGATACTAGTGAAAGCCGGAGCCAAAGTCAACATGCCCAACATGTACGGAATTACTCCTATCTTTGTCGCTGCCCAAAGTGGAAAAGTGGATGCACTTCGCATGCTTTTAAGAAATGGTAACATCTTTCACTTCACTGTCATTTTCCTTTCTGTTTCATTGTTGCTTAGTGATGTAATGCATCTCAAATGTAATGCATCTCGACTCAATCAGGTGCAGATCTCAACAGCCAGGCTGCAGATGGAGCCACAGCGCTGTATGAGGCCTGTAAGAATGGTCATGAGGAAATTGTAGAGTTCCTTCTATCTCAAAATGCAGACACCAACAAGCCGGGCAAAACTGGACTGATGCCAATCCATATTGCTGCCCAGCGTGGCAATGATGGGTATGAATTAAGAATTCACTTAATAAGGAATTTGAATGAATTTGCTTTGAGAGAAATGTTCTCACGTCACAGTTTATGTAAACAACTTATTTGTATGCGAAGGCCATTGTTTCTAAAGAGTTTAGGTTTAGTATATCTCATGATCTTGCATTAATTTTCAGCAAAGTCCTTGGGTGTACCTACAAAAATGCCACGGAAACTAAGTAAGTCTCAATGGGTTCTTTCCAGCAATGCTGTGGCAAGAGGGTGCTAATCCTCTAACCTATCACCTGAAAACTCAAGCTAACTCAAGTAGTAAATTATTGTATTTTCAAAATATCATTTACGATAAGTGTTCTTTCTTCATGTCTTGTTAACTCTTCTAGTTTATTGTGTGTAGGGTCTTTTTTTCTCACCTAACAGTTAAACTAATAATCCCATAGCATAATTCCTGATAGCATGAGATGCTCTGGGGTGGGAATTGTAAGGAATTGAATGATCCCAGGTTCCGGTTCCTCTAACAATTTAAATTCCTTAACAACTCCATTGAATTTTTTTTTTTAGTATTTTTAAGGAGTGTATATTTGAAAAAAGAAATGCATTTTACTGGCAAATGATTACATAATTTTCACAACAAATACATGTTAAACATTTCTTGCGAGTGAAAGTGACAAAAGTGAAAGTGACAATTTGTCAAGGAATTTGTCCTCTGCATTTAAGCCATCCAAGTTAGTGCACACACATCAGGAGCAGTAAGTGAGTAGTGAACACACACACTGCAAACCAAGGACACACATCTGGAGCAGTGGGCAGTCATTTTGCTTTGGTCCCAGGGAGTGATTTAGGGTTAGGTGTGTTTCTCAATGGCACCTCTGCCAGAATCAAATCCACAACCTTTGGGTTACAAGTCTGAATTTCTAACCATTCGGCCAAGACTGCCCCAATTAGAGTCATTCGTTTTTAGAACTGGACTACACTGCACTGAATGATTTTAATTCTCTGGAAAGAACCAACTCATAGGAATCAGACTACTGTGAAGTTTCAGTAGAGGTAGTGAAGTAGTGAAGTATCCTATATTTGTATTTCAGTGAAAGCCATTCACACACATAATATGTTTTTGCATTTCCACTGAACTGCTTTTCTGTTGTTGTTTTTTTTTTTTGTAAACATGTGCAAGACGGACATCTTTGACCATCCTGTGTCTTTTGCAGAGTCTAGTATGAGGATACATTTTTAAAGTCGCCATGAAACGCAAGTTGCGATAATCTATTCTCCCTTTTTGTAATGTATCCGAGTTAAACAGCTTCTCGAACTTGGTTTTGTCCATCAGGAATTGATTGAATCGTTGGATCATTGTGGTTTGCTGTTGCTGTGATCTCCTTGTCACGGTTCATGTTTCTGTGTGTTCCTTTTTGACATGTTTTTGGTGTTCTGTCTCTGGCCTGGTTGGCTGTCAGCGTTGCCGGGCAACTCATTGTGCTGACAGGCCAACCACACCTGGTACTCATTTCGTTCTCCCCTATATCTACCCTGGTGTTTGCAGTCATTCTTGTCCTGCCATTTCTTTTTGCCGTCTAGTGTTCCCTGTTCTTGTGTTCTTGTTTGGATTATCTATTGTCATCACTGTTCCTGGATTTCTCTTTGGCTCAGTCTGCTTCTCCAGCCCATTGCAGTTTTTTGCCCGTTTCTTCATCATCGCGGCTCTACAACACCCTACCATCTATGTTCTTTTTTCATCATTTATTTTATGTTGAATACCCTATTTGACCAAGATGGATCCAGCGAGTACTTTGAGCTGAGAGACATTTTGGACAGCAACAACGCTCAAATGGAACACCAAGAGGATCTGATCATGGTGACGGGTTGAATGGTTCAGCCTTTAAGTAGCACGGGTTCCATGTACCTGAAGACTGAGGCAGCTAACCCGTTCACTTCGACTAACCTAATGTCAGATCTTACTGCTCGTCACAGCAAACCTCGACTACCACCATCATCTACCTATTATGGTGATCCAAAATTGTTGAATTCATTTTCTATCAGAGGGATCTAAAGATGCTTTGGTCAACACGCTGCTAACTGGTCGAGCAGTTCAATGGTGATGTCATGTTCTACGATGAGCTGAAGAAGGTGTTTGACCGTGATTTATCTGGAAGCGGTACGGGTTTTGGCAGAGTTGCAACAAGGTAATCAATCTGTGATCTGTGTTTCAGCCACAGACGCTGGCTGCTCAATGCAACTGGAATGAGGAGGCACCGTTGGACATGTTCCTGCATGGGTTGGCTGACAGTATACAGAATGAAAGCTATGCTCTGGAAATACAATCTGCCTTGGACGATCTGACTAAGTTGTCTCATCCTCGTGCCAGTTGACACGTCATCAGAAAGCACAAGAGACATTGTTGCAAGAGGGAGCCGAAGTTATTGGATTAAAGACAAGCACGGATAAATCACTTATAATAAATAGAAATTGTCCATTTTGATTTCATGGGAACTTTAAGTTGAATTTCTAAACTTGAACTCGAACAATATTTTTAGAATGCGCAAGACACTGCAAAATATGCAAGATGGGAGCGCAACAGTTAAACACGTCCATCTTGTGCATCAATGTTTACATTAAAAAACAATGTAAATGCAGCGCAGTGGAATTAAAAAAAATAATAAAAACACTATGTGAACGGCCTCAAATAAGCCCAAATGTTGTCCACTGTCCAACTCTAGAACTAGTTCTCTAAACTTTCATTATTGCTAATCACATTCAAGCTTTTTAAAAAATGATTACATGTATTAATGGTCTTCTTGATGAAATAATTTTCCTATTTTATAATGGTCATTTCACTCGAATTTGTCAAATTCTAACATGACATTCAATTGTATTTTGGTGCACACTAGCAAGGCAACACCCAAGAACACAAACCCTCTCATTTTTAGTATTGTAGCCATGCTGATCCCAGCCACAAGTAAGGCCAGAGTGAGACGTGCAGGTATCAGCCCTATCCATTTAGCAGTGGAGCGCAACAGAAATGATATTCTCGAGGTACTGATCGAGGCCGGCTTTGACGTCAATGCCACATTGTCTGACGATCATTCTATGATGTATGAAGATCGGCGCAGCTCAGCTCTCTACTTCGCCGTCATGAACAACAACATTGAAGCTAGCACCATGCTCCTGGAGGCTGGTGCTAACCCAAACCTGGACACGTTCAACCCGCTCCTGGTGGCCCTGAGGCAGGGTTGCATACAGACAGTGACTTTGCTGGTGCAACATGGTGCCAATGTCAATGCCTACATCCCAACTCACCCAACGACCTTTCCAGCAGCTGTTATGTTCTGTATGAAGTATCTGACCTTACTGAAGTTTCTGATGGATAATGGCTGTGATGCCTTGTCATGTTTCAGTTGTGTTTATGGCAGCAATCCTCATCCTCCTATAAAGACCAGGCGCAATGTAAGATATGATGTAGATGAAACTACAGAAAAGGCCTGCATTCAGGTGCGTGGCCTGAAGCCAATACATACAGTATAATTATTATTTTATTCTAAATTGTGTATCTTACCACATTTTATACGTGTTTTACTAGTTCTGTGAGGTGATCTCCACCGAAACCTACTCCCACTGGGCAGGACCGATTATAGATGTGCTGCTTGACTATGTTGGGCATGTGAAACTCTGTGCACGGCTCACTGAACATCTGGACAGTTATGACGAGTGGCAATGCATCAAAGAGAAATCAAGTATGCGCACCCATATCGTTTGCTTGAATTATTCATATATGCAAATTATTTCAGTCACCTGTGTATTCATTTGCTGGTTCTGATTGCAGTGCCTCCACGCCCACTCATGCAGCTCTGCAGACTGAAAATCCGCAAACTGCTTGGGATCAATAGACTGAAGGAAATTTGCAAGCTTCCAGTTCCTCCAAGGTTGATCCAATTCCTAAATCATCAAGAACGAGAGCAAGAATTTTAAGCCTGCTTTTGAGTGTTAACTTTTAGTCAGTACAGAGAGAACAATGACATTAGAAAATCATAAACTTCTGTTTACTTGCACTGAGCTAAATTTATAGAATAAATGGCATTTAGAATTCATTTAGAGTCAATTTTTGCACAAATATAACAAACAAATGTGCTACTTAATAGCGTAAAAAGGCCATAAATGTTTTTATTAGACAAACAGAATTTGATGGAACATTTATTAAATAAATTTAGTAGTCACATAGTACTTTAATTTGTCTATATATGTATGCTTAGAAAAAAAAACTATTACTGTTTTTACCATGTTTTTGGTGCCAGAAATGACAGAGGAAAATGATCCTGTTGTAAAACAAAAAAATCAACGTCCAGGCACTAGAATGACTGGATACACATGTGACATACATTTCAGGATTTGACCACTAGATGTCTCTTGAAAGTAAAAACTGTAAAAACTTGAACATTTATAGTCAAAGGCAGTGTTTGAAATTAACTTTTTTTTTAAATCCCATCATCAGGCTATCTCCTCCTTTACTCTTTCATCCCCATCCTTTTTACCAAAACATGTGTTAAGTGGATAGACCAATGCAGTAAGAACATCAAACAAATTTGGATTTTGGAAAATTACAATGTCTTTTCTGTTAACCAAATGCTTTTTAATCATGCACATGAACAAGCGCGCCGTTATTTGTTGCGTACTGATGTACATGTTAGTAAGTAAGCCAGATAAAGATTCTGCGTAATAAGCCTACGCTGTTACCATGATGACTCACGAGTTCGGTGTTTGTACTAAATCTGCGCAGATTTGGCTTACACAAACTTCCCCAGCAAAGTAAGTAAAAAGTAAGTAAAAACTGGCAGGTGATTTGGCAGCGTTACTCGCCATAGTTGATTTTTACCCGCAATTGGCGGGTTGTCTTTGTTATGAACTTGACATAAGCCAATACATCATAACTTGGAATGTCTTTGTCATGACAACTTGACATTACTGAGACAACACAACATGTCATAAATAGGCTATGTCATAGCAGATTAATTATCAATTAGCACTTAGCTTTATGGTTGACATTACATTAAACTCTCCTGTGGTTTTGACATAGGCTGACATGAGGCCATTTATGACATGTGTTGTCTTAGTAATGTCAAGTTGTCATGACAAAGACACAGGTTATGAAATGAAATGTCATAAAAATGACAGTTAAAAATGTCATAATTGAGCGGATAACACTTGTTGTCACACAGTTGTCATAAACATGCATAAAACCTCCTTCATATTCATGTGTCATGTCATGATTATAAATGTATCGTGTTAGTCTTATGCGCACCCCTTTAAGTAAAGACACTAGTGTCTAGCACCCCGACGAAGGCCTGTTTGGGCTGATACGGGTTGGTGTTTTTTAAGATGTAGCCCTATCTTCCAATAAAGATTCAATAAGTAATATTTACCTTTCTAACTATGTGAGTGCCTGGATGTGGATTTTCTTCTCTCTCTTTTTTTTTTTTTTTACAACAGGATCCATCTGCCATTTTTGATATTTTTTCCCACAACTGGAGCGCCCGTAGTTTTGTTTGTGAGATGCGCCCCTGGTTGAGATATTTTCTTTGTATTAATTAATATACTTGATGTTTGTGTATAGTTTTGTATTTTTACTTTTTAGTCTACTTAGTCAGGTGTACATACATTTTTTTTAGTATTTTAATGTTTTGTTTGCTTGTTTGCTTGCAAACAAACCAATATTCAGTAGCCTAATGCATCACACTCTTCAAACTTTAAATTCTATACATTTTAAATGGGATAAATTTCCCTGATTCAGTCAGTGCTTTATTAGTTGTAACAATGTGTAATTTTGTACAGCGTCCAACATGATTAATGATAGCATTTGAGTTTATTTTTTCTACCTATTGGGCAAAGTATAAAAAATACATCTAGTATTTTTTTGGTCTTCAATAGCAGCTATTGTGTTCCTGTGAGAATGTACAAGAAGCTAAGCTTGTGAGGCGCTGTCAAAACAGCTCACTGCAGCCACTAAGTTTATTGGTTATACAAAGCATCACTGCAATATTACATTTTTTGTTTATTTAAATTAAAAGTTATATTCTGATCTATTATTTTCTCTTGCTGTTATATTTTTCAATGTGTCTGTTACATGTAAGCAGCAGGGATAAAGAGAGATGAGAATACAATTGCAGCAGTATTGAAAACAAAGATAATCTAGAGGTGTAAGGGGTATACAGTCAAAGACCCAGAACCAGATATGAAGACCTGAAGTCAGAATTATATATATATAAATTATAATAGAGAAAAGTTTTTCTGAAGATAGTTTGCAGTTTCATTAGCAGAGGTCAGCTTAAAGACTCACACGAGTTTGTAGGCCACTTCCTTTACAGTTACAAAGATCACAGCAGTTTCTTACCATTTCCAAAGTCGCTACATCATTGCTTACAGGCTGAATGATTCTCATTGGCTAAGAAATCGATAAACACAGTAATTTTTCCACACATATACATATAGACGAAAGCATATCTCCATCGATTATGCAGCTGATAGTGATACTCAAGTTAGGCATGTCACGGTCGCAGATTTGGGTTGCTGAGCGCCTGTCTTGAACAAGTCGGTCAATCTTCAATAATGCCAGTGGTTCCTTTACCTGCTGTAACCAAAAAGACTAAACACACACCGACACTCAGCTTTTAAAATGTTGGATTTTGGCCAGGCTCAAACTATAAACAGGAGAGTCTTCTCAAAACATCAAGAGAATGAATGCATTCTTTCCCCTCAGCTTTAGTCTAACTGTAAAGTAAGACTTTAACAAAGAATTGGCTTCACTGAACCCTATATGTTTTAATACGTTGAAGACCTTTCTCAAACACAAAACAAGTCCCCATTTCATCTTTGGAAGCTGGGCTAAATAAGCAAGTACTGTTACTGCATTCAAATATCAAATATACAGACATTAAAGAATACATCAAAAGAACATTTTAGTAATCACACTGGTAACTTCTATAACAAAGTAAAATCTCACAAGTCTGGAGAAGTCATTCAACTCATTTGATATTTAGAAGGAAAAATATATTGATTAACATTTTGATTATAATTACTCATCATTACATATACATTGAAGCAGCAGTGGATTCCAATCCACCCCCTTCAGAGGGTCAAAACCAGGAGCAGGAACATGAACTCAACAGATTCACACAACATGCAAAGACAACAACCAACAAACCAAGACTGAAACACTGGGGAATATATATACAGGCATACCTGAAATTGTGGAATTGAATCAATGGAATGAATCACTAACAAACAAGACAAAGGTTAACACTATGGGTTAACAGGAACTAAACAAGAAAGGGGAAGTAATGATATAAGTAGAACAGAAAATGTATTTCAAAATAAGAGTCCACAGCAAGGAACCATGATACAGGGATGGGATCATGACAGTTTCAATGGCATTGCAAACTGAAATTGCAGGTGTTTTCTAATTTTTGTGTGAAAATATTTGGTTATCAGAGGTGGGGAGCTATACCACTGAGCTATACCCATTAATAGACACGGTACTTCTTAGAAAATAAGTTCCAGTACAGCACTACTGGCACAACCCATAATGAAATAACCCTTTGGCCTTTACAATAGAATAGATAATACTTTACAATGAGCACTGTTAGTAGACATTGCATCATGTGCTACTGACTTATGGAGCATGTCGCCATATGTAGTACTGTAGTCATTTATAGGACATTTAATTTATATTTATTTTTTAAAAATAGTTTAGGATTTAGTATCACAATTAGATCAGTATAACTGCTCAACTCATCTGCCAGTCACTACTGGAGATGGACAAAATCCATCAGCACATCACAAGTTTTAGTGGCACATACCACAATCCACTGGGACATGTACAAGACAAGTGGCATGACGTAATCCATCGGCATGTTGCAAGTTTTAGTGGCACATACATGCCACAATCCACTGGCACAAGACAATAAAATCCAGACGCGCCACTAAGCACAGCAGCATTTGACAATGGCTTCTGTACGTAAGATGTTACGCCACTTAATGTTAATATACTGCTACATAGTCTCTGTGCCACTCACACCATACACATATCCAAGTGGCCCAGAGCAACTTTATTTACAGATCTGACGTTACACCATCCCACTAGGTCTAAATTATAAACAATTATAATAGGCTTACCACAGTTAATGAGGGTAAGAAAAAAGTTAGGCCTACATGATGTATCTTTAAACTACAAGTTTAAGCATAGGCTACTATTTGCATATTGACGCAAAATAAATATGATGTTATGATAAAATGTTAATTTTTGGGAGATAATAATCTGAACAGAAATATTACCCTTTACTCATCAAGTTGAGAAAAGCTACAGCTTTTTCTTCCAGTTTTTTTACTCAATCTGCATTTATATAGAAATATAGAGTAACTTTTTTAAAGGTGCTATATGTATTTAGTAGATCTACTATATAAAATAAGTTACATCCTAAAGCACCTATTTTTTGTTATCCTGGAACAGTCTTTTGTATTCATTTCATGTCTCATATGTTGTAGTTTACCTTGCTATTTCATTATAGTTTACCATTATTTCAGCATATCTGAAAACTTGTAATTTATTACAATATAAATAGCGAAGGTCTCTCCATAATTCAAATGCTCTGCCTATGTTGATCCATGTTTTCGCAAGTCGATTCGATTCACGTTTGGCCTGACGAGCTTCAGCAGATACTTTTTTTTTTGTTTTATTTTTTATATTTTTGTGGAGTTTGTGTTGTGCTGGAGGCAGGTCGATTTTGGTTGTTATCAGACTCCATGTCGTTGACTGCAGTGCCATCGCATAGACTTTATATAGACCATTTCACAAGATGTAAACAACACTGGTTTAGAAGCACTTCCTGTTTCAGTTTGTAACTGTTTTCTTTATTTCACATGTAAAGAAAACATCTTAAAGATGTTTGTTTAACTTTTTGATTCAGTTTTAAATGTTCTGTTGGTTGTATTTTATCCCAGCTTTTATGTAGTGTTAAAAAACTGAAACAGGAAGTGCTTCTGCACCAGTGTTGTTTACATCTTATGAAATGGTCTATAAAAAGGAGAACACATACATCCGATAGATTTCGCAGAAAATCCGACCCGGAGACTTCACATAGAAATAGGAATACTGGCCTTCAGAGGTAATAGCAAAACCTGACAAGTGTATCATTGTAATGTGTGATTACAACCCCTTCACGCAGGCAATAAAAATTTCATTTTAGAAGAAAAGTTACATATAGCACCTTTAATAAATCATTTGTGTTAAGTAATGTATGGCGACAAAAAGAAAACGTGTTGGCTAAAAACATTTTTTTTTTTTTAAACGTGTTCGTTAAATACTTAAAAACCAAAAACGATAAAAAAGTATTCAGAGTAGGCCCCTTTTGTAAAAAAACAACAACAAAATATTCAAAGTGGATACAACGTCATGAGTAAAAAAAAAAACCTGAATGACCTGTTATTTCATTCATTCATTCATTCATTAATTCATTCATTGCTTCATGTGACTTCAGAAATCCAGCATCCAAACTGCTATTTATTTATGTTATGTATTTACTGCCAGGACCAGATGTGAGATGATCCACCAATCAGAGAGGTTTTTACATGGGTGCTATGAAATAAATGAAACCTTTACATAATGTTGTCAGCGACAATGCTATCAGTTATAGTAACACCGAAGCTGTCTGTATATGCCCTTGAAGGTGCGTGTTACCCCGACCCGAACTTTTTCAGGTCAGTTTTGATGTCATCCAGAAAAAGGCTCTTTCCAGATGGCCAGACTGCTTGTTGAGAGCAGAACTGATGGCATTGCCCAGATTCCCAGTATGTCTACTCCTTTTCCAGCCAATGCTATGCTCTGTTTGAAGTATCTCATGTACATCAACATTCTGTCCTGACATTTCGTATTGTTTAAATTGTTGAAATGTATCATATTTATTTTATTATTTGTATTCATTTATTTATTTATTATGATTGTGTTTGTGTGTGTATATATATACATCTAATTTTAAGTATTAAATTAAATATTACACCAAATTCAGATATATTATTTAAAACTAAATTGTTTTACTTGGCACATCTAACATTGTCTGTTACAAAAGGCCACTCTAAATTAGCCTCAAAAGCTCACGCGCACATTGAACATAATTCTGCAAAGCTGGCGCATGTGATGGCGTTGCAGGTTATGGGATTTTTTGGGGTTAGCAATAAATACAGTACACTCACAGTTGAGGGAATGACCTGTAAGTGTTCCTCACCAGCAGGGGGCCGAATAGAAAAACAAATACTGTGGGACTTTTCCCAGTGTTTGTTGCTGTTTTCTTCCTCAGGCAAAGGCTAAAACCGGTAGTTGTAATGTATGACGATGTATGATTTATTTTAGAATTTAAAATTTATTTTATTTTCTGTTTGCTGCTTCTAGTAGGCTATAATAATGTCACCATAATGAATGTTCAATGAAAACAAGCTATGTGTGATAGAAAGTGTGCCTTAATAATTTAGTTTAAGTCACATGTTGGACTAGGCTCAATGACTATTGAAAAAATGTCTATAGACCATTTCACAAGATGTAAACAACACTGGTGCAGAAGCACTTCCTGTTTCAGTTTTTTAACACATACATAAAAGCTGGGATAAAATACAACCTACAGAACATTTAAAACTGAATCAAAAAGTTAAACAAACATCTTTAAGATGTTTCTTTACATGTGAAATAAAGAAAACAGTTACAAACTGAAACAGGAAGTGTTTCTGGACCAGTGTTGTTTACATCTTGTGAAATGGTCTATTTTAGAAATATATAACCCACAATGAAACCTTTTCATAGGTTTTATTTTGTTTAATGTCTTCATAAAATAACCACAGGGTGGCAATGTAACTCCATAGCTAATAAATTGAGAAAACTAGAGGATCCAGATGAGACAATTTGTTGTGTATTATATGCTTATAATTCAGTAGAAGTGTTTGAATATATTAGATATTGAATATTTTATATAGCCTTTAGTGTAATATTTATTTGTATATTAAAAGAAATGCATATGTCAGTTTAACCCAGAGGAACTAACAAAGCACAAATGATTTCATCACTGATGGAGGTATTTTCTCTATTTTTCTCTCTCTTTTTCTCTCCCTCTCAAAGCCCAGGAATCTGTCATCACTCTATCCTACAACTGTCCACTATCATTAAAATATTGTGAGATAGGTCAAACCACAACACTCGGTCTTGAGCTTTGTTTTTGTTCATCAGTTTTCCATTGCGGCATTTATGTGGATGAATGGCCTTAGAAAGGTCAACACTGAACATTGATTACACACCTCGCTTTCAGAGGGACATACTGTAGGGGAAGGGAGGTAAGTGGACATTTGTTTTGTGCCAACTCTTTTAAACGGCCAGAAATCTTCAAAAAGTGTTGGCAGAAGAGGCAAGAGCATTGTAGGGCTCTCCGTCACACTCTGGCACTGGTTGACACTACAGAGCCGTTTAAGGGCTGACTTCTCCCAAGGCATCCAAAACTGTAGAGTGTGACTATGCGGTTTTATTTAATGCAGTCAAATGGAAATGAAATTTAAACCTTCCTTAAACATACACTGTAGAAAAAAATCCTGTTTTTTTTTTGTTGGTTTTTTTCCAGGAACAAATCATTTTCAGTCAATGATTTTCAGTCAATTTTAAATGTGTTTCCCCTGAATTTGTAATCCCTTAAAATAGCTTGAATGTACTCTACACCCTTGCCTCATTTAGTATATGCTGTTCTATGAATATGCAAATTAGCCCTGGCAATCACTCACGCAAGCTTAGAGATCCACACGTTGACGTGATTGGTTACAAGGTAGTTTGTGACGTCAGAAACACCAGCAATTTCAAAACGTGTTTTTGAGACTGTATTTAGATCACTGCAGTTTTAAAGAGAGTGCACATGGTTTGTCTTAAAACATTAAAAACACCACATAGACATATAAACAACATTAAAACCTTGATTTTGTAGTATAAAGTGTGAGTAGTGTGTCCACACTAAAAATTCATAAAAGAAATAGTGCACTTTAAATACGCAGATGATTAATTACCCGGGGAAAAGAGTGTGGAATGACTGTGGCAGCTTTAATTTATGTAGCGGAGAGGGAGGGGCTGTCAGACTGTTTGTTGAATGACAAAATAATAACCTTATAAAAGTCATACAATACATGGTTAAGAGTATATGAAGACCTCCGATGCAAAAGCCTCTAAAACCCACCTTTGTTAAAAATTAGCTAACAATATATGCTCTCCGCACATAGTAAATGTTCA